CCTGCCCCGAGTGCAGCCTGGTCCAACCCCCACCAAGAAGAGGCCAGTGCAGTCCCAGCGTGCAGTGGCAGCCACCCCACCTCACGCAGATCCAGGGTGTGCATACCCCCCCATGCCGTCCTAGGGTGCATGAAGCAGCAGAAGCCACGCCCCCTGGAAGAGCCATTTGCAGCTCTGTCCCGGGCCCCACCCTGCTCTGGCTGGGCAGTGCCTGCCCCAGCCCCAGCCCCACTCCCTCCCATACCACAGGAGCATCGATCTGCCCCCGCCTCCCCTGCCTTTCTCTTCTCCCACCCCTTCCACCATAACAGGCTTACCAGCTAGATACTGCGCTTCAAACTGCTGTGCTGGTATTAGAAATCAGATTGGTATCAGCCGATATGCCTCCTTAAAAATCGGCTATCAGTATCAGTGCTCTCCTAAAAAAGTTATTCTTTGCAAGTGTTTGGGTACAGACACCCTTCTTCAGGCTGAGGAAATCTGTAATACTTAGCCTGAAGAAGGTTATTTGTACCCAAAAGCTTGCAGAGAAGATTTTTCCTTTGGTTCGAGCACTCTGAGGGCACTACCAGGAATATAGTATCCCATTATAAAAACAGAAACCAGAAAAAAAATGTAGGCCCTTGCCTGTGCCCATCTCTCCTGCTGCCTGCCCCCCACCACTTTCTGCCCCCCCACTTCCAGGGCAGTCAATGGCCCCAGCTCCGGCTCTGGTCCCAGCCCAAGCAGGGGCAGCAGCTCTGAGCAGCTAGGGCTGGGGCCGGAGATAAACGTGGAGGAAGGGGGACAGGGTGCAAATGGCCAGGATGGTGGATAAGCGGGGGGGGGGGGTGCCATCTCCCCCATGCTCAATATAATATTTTCACTTTAAATATCATTTTGAAAATATATTTTTGTGCTACTAATATCCCTTTACACAGACAAAATAATTTTAAACTCTGAATTTAGTTTTTTGTACATTTATCTACTTCAATTTTCATCAATTTAACTCTCCAATTTTCATATGCTAACGTAATGTTGCAATGTTTTGACTATAAGCCAAACACTGCAGATAAGTGAATGTAAATATGAAATGCAGGGGTGTAGGTTGTAGCCGTGTTGGTCTAAGGACATAGGCAGACAAGGTTCTTTGCGTGAATCTGATATCTTTTATTAGACCAACTTAAATAGTTGGAAAACAATTATTAAGCAAGCTTTCAGGTTCAAAAACCCTTCGTCAGGCTAAGAAAGTTTTTGCAGTTGGTATGTGCTCTTCCTGGATGGAATGAAAAGTAAAGAAGCCAGAGGCTGGTCTGGTATGCATACAAGACAGGTAGTCAGTGAACATGTAGACTGATTCCTCAATGGCTGAGAGACAGGCCGGGGGGGGAGGGGAATATGAAATGCAAGTATTTTGAGGTTATTTTCATAGTTTTTTTTCTTTTAAAACAGCCTAACCATTGGGAATAAGCTACCTAAAAAGCACCTTCTTAAGAAGTGTGCCTGCAGACTTGACACTTCAGGCTTTAATAATTTCATCATTTTTTACACTGTCTAAAACCTGAACATGTGCAGACACGTGGCACCATTATTTACAAAGAGAAACTGGTGTTAAGGATTTCCCCATCAGTTTTTTTCTAGTAATAACTCAATCCAATGATGCTGAGGTTAAAGATGGGGAAATTCTGGCAAAGAGTTATCTTTATTTTCTTTCACAAAGAATCATATTTTGACTGTACCAAGACTGAAGTTGCTCTCTTTGAACAAACATCAAATACATATTTTACTAACCTCTGACATCCAAATGAACCTCTTCTGTAAAAAAAGTTTTAGTTTCCTTATTTGGGACCTCCGAAGTTGGGCCTGAAAAGACTGGGTTTTCTGGCATAAGCCTGAACAGGTGATAAAGCAGTTTATTCAGACTCTTAGTTCTTCGAAGGTATTGTGAATAGAGAGCTCGCAGCTGATGAGAGAAAGAAATGAAGTAAACATGAACCATAATATAAAGTAGCTATGTTTAAGAAAGTTAGGAGTGTTTAAGAACAGAAGATGTATGGTCCATTTGTTAGGGATCTGCCAAGTACTTAGCAGACTGATTAAATATGCCATCCCACACAGACTTCCTATGCGACCCTGGTAAGTTACTTCATTCCATATTTATAACAGTATTTAGGTGTTTGACTTCCACTGAAATCAACTGGAGTTAGACACCTAAACACCTTAAAAAATTTGACCTTTAGCTTCTCTGTGCCTCATTTCTCAACCTGAGAAATGCGCATAGGACTTCCCCATCTCTTAGGGAAGTTCTAACATACTCACAGGATGCTGCAAAGATACATACATAAATGAGGGTGAGATGCTAAGATATTAAGCCATGGGTGCCCTGGAAGTACCTAAGAAAGATAGCTACATGATTCTCAAAGAATGATTTAGTGTGGCCGAACATATAAGCTATCAGGAAAAATGTTCTGACACCAATGAACTGGTCAAAGATTTAGTGGTCAAGTTATTTAAAAACTATTATTATATTTTTAACTTTTTAAGCAGCGTTACTCAATAGTCTTTTAGTAGCTTTCCACACTGTCATATCAAGTATGTGTGTTTTATTGCTATACCTAGTGCTCTGCTTTCTGAAGAAGTGGGGCTGGATGCACAGAGTGAGACCACGCCCCTCTGTGGAGTGGAGACACCTGTAGTTATCTCTATCATGGTATTAACAGACATAGAGATCAAATGAGAGTACCCCTAATTTTATGCAGTCTGGAGGTTGGAAGCTGTAGCATACTTAAGAGAAGGAAAATATTCAAATGGAAACATTGGAATCATATGGAAACTGATCTAAGCCAAATCAGGGTGTGGAGAAACCCCCTGGAAGAAGAAGAAACAGTAAAATACATACCTGGGAAGAAGCTGCCTTGAAAAAAGTTAATATTAATTTCCATGTGAGAAGATATCCTAAAACAAGGCAGAACTCATCACTCAGTGGTTGAACCACAGCAAACTCTCCAACCGGAACATTTTCTAGAATGCTTTCTAGTAAGAGCTCTTGAGTGGCAAGAACAGACATAAGAGCTGCAGGTGGTGATCTAAAGAACAATGACATTCGGCATGGTGATGAAAGAGACAAAACAAAACTTCGTTAAAACTGATTTCGTTTCCTAGTCTGCTTAGCCTCCCCTCAGCACAAAGCATGTTAGTCCATCAGAAAGCTGATGTACTTATGACAGTAAAATTCGCTTTTCAAATCTGCACAGCAGGACTTAGCTTTAACAGCAGTGTCCCCTTGAATCGGCAGACTTTCTCTGGGCTGCTTCCAAAAAGAGTTCAACAAAGAGACTGAATGCTATTGTGAAGATTTGAAAGGATGATTCTGGCCTGGAGTTGTTTTAATTTATTGTTACTTACTGGTTTCAGGCAGGACCCATAGTTTGAAGGCAACAGACAAACACAAAAGAAAGCAAATCCACTCACACTAGCAAGACAAAAGTTAAAACTTACCTTCCTGCTGTTGAAGCTGTTTTCTGAAATGCCATATAAAATAGACCATTTCCCACGAGATTGGAAAAAATGCCCTAATCAAGTTTTGTAGCTTCTCTGCTGTAGTTAACTATATCTGATGTTTCAGATAACAAAGCAGCCTTTTAAAATTCCAAGCCAAATTTTAACGAGACTTGGTTTTTATTTCATTTTGTAGATGAATGCATTAAAAAAGGAAACACAATATATGAGAACCCTAACCCTTGAAACTGTACCAATCTGCACAGCTGGGACCCCAGATATTAAATTCCTTCTTTTTTATAAACAATGATTTAAAGCTGGAGCTTTCTGTTCAGCTGTCACTATTACAGATATCTCACTGACTTTAGTAAAAGCATTATTTTCTCATCATTTTATATCCTGGTGCTAGACACCCAGAAAATGTGCTAAGGCAACTACTACACAGAGGGCTGGAAACATTTGCTTTTTCCTAATGCTTTACTCCTTATTTCTTGGACTTTAGAAAACATTCATAAATTTGACAGTGGGCTGTTTGCTAAGCTTTTGCTTGGATGGTGAGCAGAAGAACATGGGTTCATCAAGAACTGCAAAGGTAGGCTTTAGGCTGCATGGGAGACCAAGAGTGCTGGAAGATCACTGACAATAAAGAAGATTAATTCATTGGAGACAAAGGGCAGATAGGGCAGCCCTTCCTTTCCCCATCTCAAAAGAAATGTTTCAAAAGCATATGCTCTTTCCAGGGTAAAAGTATATGCTCTTTGTTTCAAAAGTAAAAGCTCTTTCCAGATGCTGCTGCCACCAGATCAACCCCTGGCCCATCTGCTGGGGGTGCTGGATGGAGCAGTCTGGGTTCTCTATGGAAACTGGCTCAGGACCCATGCGGGCAGGGCATGTGGCTAGGCGACTGGAATGAGGCTGCAGGCAGGCGGGAAGCAGTGTCTGGGAGCAGGCCAGGTGGGCAGAGCTGGAACCAGGATCACAGGGCAGTGATGGCACAGGGGTGGGGCCAGGGCAGGGGCAGAGCTACGATCTGCTGCCCACATGTCCCTGTAACAGGCACCTGTTCTGTAGGCAGGGGCATGCTAGGAGCAAATTGTGGCCCTGCCACAGGCCCTGTCCCCACAAGGTCACTGCCTCATGATTCTGGTCTGTGATCCTGGCTCCAGCCATGGCCCCACCTACCCACCCCACTCCCAAAAACTGCTCCCTGCTTGCCACATCCCCGTTCTATCCACCTGGCCAAACATGCCCTGCCTGTACAGGTCCTGGTCCAGTGTCCATGAAGACCCTAGAATCACTGGGGTGTAGCAGTGCAGGGCAAGGCCCCAAGGCAGAGCCACTCAGGGAGTTTGAGTGAGCTGCTGCAGGCAGGCAGGGAGCGGGGGCTGCTCACCTGGCCCATGACAGCTCAGCATAACACCCTAAGTGAACCCCCAGCCCAAATAATTGCCCACCCCTGCTTCATCATCATAGCTCATGTACTATTTGTTCTCAAATATTAGAAGTAATTTGGGGAGTTTTTATGATCATCACATGTGACTGTTTATAGAGTTTAGACTATTTGCTGTGTCTAAGACAGACAAGACAAACAGTAACTGTCTTAAAATTACCCTCAAGGAAATTTTGGCTTGGACATTAGGAAGACCTTTCTAACTATGAGGGTGGTCAAGCACTGGAACAGATTACACAAAGGCTGTGGAATCCCCATCACTGAGAGTTTTTAAGAGCAAGTTAAATAAACACTTGGCTGGGATGACTTAGATGGAGGTAAGCCTACCCTGAGCAGGAGGGATTGATCTAGATAACCCCCAAATTAAAATCTGGTCACTTTTAAAATACATCACACATACTGACCTACTCCTAACCCTGAATCCCCATGCCAAATTCCTGGTTTTACAGTTAAGTGTTTCAGGGGTAAGGGCATGGGGAGGTTAAGCACCTCTCTCTCCTGTGGCTGTTTGACAAGCATACGAATTAGTGATAGAATATCACAAGTCACAGGCAGGTGAGCTACATAAAATGAATTACACAGGGAAAGAAAAACTCTGATCTCTGAAGCTTGACAGCAGTAACTTATTCTTCAGTTGATTGATTTTATATTAGAGACACTATCTTTGCTTTTTGGTTCAGAGTATTATGATTAAAAGTTTTTAACAGGTGCAGTCATGGATCTCTTCTCTCCTTCTTCGGCGCTTATAAGACCTAGTTCTGGTGGCAATACTTCAGTACCAAATAAATGGAAACAGATGATCTCAATACCAGTGCAAACAGAGAATGTTAAGCAGTTCTACTGTATATTTACATAGCTTCTGCCCTGGTTAGTCACAACCATGAGTTTCCCTTTCCAGTGCTAACACAAATGATTGCCTCTGCTATACAACTGATATATATAACTACTCAAGTCATGCACTGTCACCACAGATAACAGAACACAAATAAAAATACGAAAAAAAAAAAAAAAAAAAAACTTAAAAAGTT